GAGGCACAATGCTGAGATCACATCCAGCGCCTAGCCGAAGACGTCATTCTTAGTGGAGTTGGATGCGTTCGAGGCGCCGAAGAGGTTTAGCATGCCGAGGTTTCAAGTTTATGATGGTAAGTTTGACCAGAACTTTCATGCCAACTTATATTTAAATTCAATGGCTTTGTGGAGTGGGAACGAGCAACTATTGTACAAAGTATTCCCGTCGTCGTTCGGGAAAATAGCGTCAGATTGGTTCTACAAACTCCCAAAAGGATGCGTAAAGAGTTGGGAAGGCCTGGCTGAGATGTTTGTGGCCAGGTTTGTTACAAACAAGTTGCTTCCACTAAGGGTAGACTCCCTACTGGCTTTGAAGAACAGCGATGGCGAAGGTCTTAGGGCCTACACCAAGAGGTACTATGAGGTTTACAACTAGATTCCAGCTTGTAACCAAGAACTCGCAGTCATGTCTTTTAAGAATGGCTTGAAATATGATTGCCCACTCCAGAAGTCGCTTGCAAAGAGACTCCTGAAAAACATGAAGGAGTTAATGGCGCGGAGAGAAAAATACGCCAAGGTAGAAAAAGACAACAAGGGAAAGAAGATACCAAAACAAGAAAGGAGAAACAGCTTGATGAAGTAAGGCCGAGGGAATACCGGCGTTGACATACCAGAGTTGATGTTGAGATCCATGCAGGTAGTAAGTATAGTCTTCAAGATTCCTATCTATAAGGTCTTGGAGAGAATCAAGAACCAGCCATACTGCAGGGCACCACAAAGGGTCCAAAGGGAGTTCATGAGCAGGAATCTTGGGAAGCGCTGTACCTATTATGAGGAAGATGGGCACATGACACAAGAGTGTCGGGCTTTGAAGTTGCACCTAAAAGATCTGGTTAGATAGGGACACCTAAGAGACCTAATCAATGAAGCAAAAACAAGAGAGGAGCAAGCAAAGATGGCCCAAGCACCGGCAGTACCACCACTACAAGTAGAAGGGCCACGGATAATCAATGTGATTCACTCGAAGGTCAATGAGAACGAAGTGCGATGGGAGACTCAGAGGGTAAGGCATCTATAACATGTCTACCAGGTCCAACAGAAAAAACCCAGGACAAGTGGACATCAAGGGCCAATGATATCTTTCACCAAAGAGGACATGGACATGGTTCAACATCCCCACAACAATGCACTAGTGATGACATTGAAGGTAGGAGATTGTCAGGTGAGGCACATATTGAATGATCAGGGCAGCTCTTGTGACATCATGTATGTCAGATGTTACAAGGAACTTGGCCTTCACAAGGATGATCTAGAGCAATTTGGCAGCCCTATGGTTGGATTCAATGGGACGCCGACGTGGCCTCTAGGAGCCACGAGTCTAGAAGTGCAGGCAGGAACCAAAAAGGTAATGATAGAATTTACTGTGATAGACGCTCCCTCCCTATACAATATTATTCTGGGAAGACCTTGGTTGCATGCAATGGGGGTTGTTCCCTTAATGTTGTACCAGTTATTGCTATTCCCAACTGAACAGGGGATTGAAGAAGTAAGGGAAGACCAAGTACAGGTGAAAAATTGCTCCATGGCAGCAATGATGTACACTTACAATTTAAGGGAAGCAGAGAATGCAGAAATTGAAAGCGAAGACCACGAGGTCTTAGATGATGTTGGCAAAGAGCCTGCCGACAAGAGCGTAAAACCCTTGAAAAAGGTTATTGTACAAGAAGGAGATGAGGAGCGATTCTTCCTTCTCGGCTCTGGCTTAGCCAAGGAAGAAGAAAGGCAAATAAAAGTCTTTTTGAGGAAAAACATAGAAGTGTTCACTTGGACACTCTATGAGATACCAGGGATTAGTCCCGAGGTCACCTGCCACAAACTCAACTTGGATAGGATGGCCAAGCCAGTGATTTAGAGAGAAAGGAGACCAACTTGGTCCATGTGTAGGTAGTAGAAGATGAGGTGGAAAAGTTGCTAGTGGCACAAGCGATCCGAGAAGTAAACTACCTCACATGGCTGTCCAATACGGTTGTGGTAAAGAAGAAGAATGCAAGTGGAGGGTATGTGTAGACTTCACCAGCCTAAACAAAGCGTGCCTGAAGGACTGATTTCCCTTGCCCAAGATTGATTAACTTGTTGACGCCACATCAGTGCATAGAAGAATGAGCTTTCTCAATACATACAGGAGATACCTTCAGATAGCATTGTATGCCCCAGACGAAGAAAATACAGTATTCATCACCCCAAATGGACTTTACTGTTACAGGGTAATGCCCTTTGGGTTGAAGAATGCGGAAGCGACATACCAGAAGTGGGTTACCAAGATGTTCAAGCACTTAATCGAGAAGATTGTGGAAGTCTACATTGACGACATGGTTGTCAAGAGTAAAGAACTAGAAGATCATCTAGTAGACCTAAAGGAAATCTTTGAAATATTTAAGATATACCGACTTCGGCTGAATGTCTTAAAGTATTCATTTTGGGTAGGATCTGGAAAGTTCCTGGGTTACTTTGTAACCAGGAGAGGAATTAAAGCGAGTCTATATTAGATCAAGGCCATCCTTGATTTGAAGAGTCCAACGACAACAAAGCAAGTTTAGATTTTGACCGGTAAGGCAGCAACCCTAAACAGATTCATCAGCCGAAATTCAGATAAATGTAAGCTATTTTTTCAGTTATTAAAGAAGGCTACAGAATTTCTATGGACAAAAGAGTGCGAAGTCGCCCCTGGCCAACTTGAAAAGGTACTTGATAACAGCACCTGTATTGTCAAACCCGATACTAGGAGAAGAATTGTTCCTATACTTAGCGGTTTCAAATCACGTTGTCAGTATCGTGGTAATTCGAGAGGAAAAAAGGAAGCAGAAAACAATGTACCATGTCAGCAAAACTCTGGCCAATGCAAAGACCAAGTACCTGCCCTAGAAAAGTTGACAATTGCTTTAGTAATGGCTTCAAAGAAATTGAACCATTACTTTCAAGCCCACAAAATCATGGTGCTTACAGAGCACCCACTAAAATTCTTGTTGTAACAAGGAGATCTGACATGCAGAGTAGCATAATGAGTTGTACTTTTAAGTTAGTATGACCTAGAATATAGGCTAAGGACAGCGATAAAGGGTCAGGGTCTAACCGACTTTGTAACAGAGTTCACTCTAGGCCCGACTCTGAGGCAAGTACCAGTGAACCTTGGCCTCATATGCCTAGAAGAAAAAGAAGAAAATTATTTGGGCCCACGAAACCCCACATCGGGAAAACAGAAGAATGTTGAAGAAAAGTTAAAACCCTGCGATATTTACACTGGGGATTCCTTCCGTCTCTTTGTCGATGACAGTTCAAACCGACAAGGAACAGGCGATTCCTTCCAAATGTGATATGATGAATAAGAAAATAAGGTACAATATAGAAACAAATTAGGAGTATAATAGTACACTAATATCATTCATATACAACTCATAGAACCTTATGAAATACATTCCTATTTAAATAGGACTTCAAACTCTAAAAAAATAGTCATAAAACTTCATGAGAGGGAGATTAATAATCTGGCTTTGGGCCGTGGACGGAGCTGGACAGAAGATGGCCGAGCATGTTTGGGCCGAGCTAACTTGGGCCTGATTAGAGTGGGATTTGCTTGGTCGAGGCTCGCCCCTGTTTAGGCCGAGCTAACTAGGGCTTCCTTTGAGATGATCTTGCTCGGTCCAGGCCTAGGTCTGAGGTCCAGTTCCCATGTTTGGACCGAGCTTCCCCGGATTTGGACTTGCTCGGCTGAGGCCTATCCCCGAGGTCTACTTAGCCGAGATGAGCGTCTGCTACCGGGTTTTGTAGGAGCATGATTAGCTTGGTGGGAAAAGTCTTCTGAATGCCCGTGTAACCTATCTGGAACTGTCCTACTAGAGTGCTACCGAGCTCGGCTGTTATGGAGCTCGGCGAGTGGAGCACTCAGGCACGTTACGCAGCACGATCATGGAAGGCCGAGGTGATTCCGCCGGGCTGCCGAGTTCCCGCTAATGTAGCCTGACGGTTGGGTTAGGTGGTGATTGCTGGATTTGTGCTGACAGATGGGAGAGCAACACCACTTGTCAAGAGACTAATGGGTGCAGAGTTGAGCGCAGAAAGTATATAAACGTGACTGCGCCCCCATGCTGGATATAGAACATCATTTGGTGAGATAGACTTACATTCATTGAGCTTCTCTCTCTCTCTCTCTCTCTCTGAGTGTGTGCTAGCTTGACCGTCGGAGGGGTTTCTAGCAACACACCGCTAAATAGCTCACCGCCGTTGTGCTTTCGGTTGATCAGATAGACACGGAGCTTGGACGAAAGGAGTACGGACAGTGACAAATATTTGCTCTCCGTACACTTCACATTAAATAAATCTTTCAAATATAACTTATAAATATTTTTTTCATTTTTTAAACTCTCTCCAAAAAATTATTTTTAAAATAATATCTCAAAACACAAATCATACAAGGCAAACATCTTTCACATTAATATGTGCCATTTATGTGGAGGATTTAACCCAAAGCATTTAGTTTATCACCATTGGAACTTTCAACTTAGATCGGAGAGTCGAGATTTTTAACCGTAAGAATTATTAAACGAAATTTTTTTTTATTGATAAGAGTTTATGAAAATATGACTTAATAAATTTTTTCCAAAATTATTATTAATAAGAATTTTCTATTTAATAACTTTTATTGGTCAGAATCTTTCACTTAATAATTTTTATTGATTAAAGACTTCAACTGTTAAATTCAATTAAAATTTTAGTAGGAGACAAGTTATTTCTCAACCAAAAACCAAGGCCCATTACGGACAGCCGCAGCATGCAGCTGTAGCCTCGGCTTCACCTTGAGCCGCTGCTCTCACCTTCAAGCCGCCAATCTCTCTCTCTTTCCCCCTCTCTCTCTCTCTCTATTATCATTATTATTATTCACACACATATTATATTTATATGACGTCACGATCCAGTTTTAAGGTGCGAGTAACCCCCCTATATAAGACTCCAACGTGGTCTCTCACTTCTTGTTTCCAGTGGAAAAACATATGCCCCCCCAAAAAAAAATTATAAAACAAAAAATCATCAAGAAAAAAAAGAAGTAGAGACAGAAAGTGTGTCACCTTTCTTTCGAACCATAGTCTTCAATGGCGGCCTCTGTCCAAAACCGACAGTTCAGTCGCCTCGACCAGAGTCTATCCGGCGTTCCTCACACCTTTAAACCCGGTCCGAATCACCGCTCCGACTCCTCCGTCCGAGCCTATAGCTTTCCTTATACTCCTGAAATTAGCCGACCCATTAAACCGGTAGCTTTCGAGGATTCCTCGTCCGAAGATGAGGCTGAGAATGATTATGACAACGCATTAAACAAAGAAAAAATGGAATCTGAACCGTTGGTTTTCGACTCGAGAGACGAAGGAACCGCCGATAATTGGGTGGAGCGAAACCCGTCGATGATCCGACTCACCGGGAAGCACCCTTTCAACTCGGAACCTCCCCTGACCCGACTCATGCACCACGGCTTCATCACCCCCGTCCCGCTCCACTACGTCCGGAACCACGGCCCGGTCCCGAAAGGAACCTGGGAAGACTGGACCGTTGAGGTCACCGGTCTAGTCAAGCACCCGACCCGGTTCACCATGGACCAGCTGGTCACCGAGTTCCCGAGCCGCGAGTTCCCAGTCAGTCTCGTCTGCGCCGGTAACCGCCGCAAAGAACAAAACATGGTGAAGAAAACCATCGGGTTCAACTGGGGCGCCGCCGGAGTGTCGACTTCGGTGTGGCGCGGCGTACCGTTGCGGTGTGTCCTGAAGCGGTGCGGCATCCTCAGCCGTAAAAAGGGAGCACTAAACGTGTGTTTCGAGGGTGCCGAGGATCTCCCCGGCGGCGGTGGGTCTAAGTACGGCACGAGCCTGAAGAAAGAGTTCGCCATGGATGCATCGCGGGACATCATATTAGCGTACATGCAAAACGGTGATCGTTTATCACCAGATCATGGGTTCCCAATACGAATGATCATACCGGGTTTCATAGGAGGTCGTATGGTAAAATGGCTAAAGCGTATCATAGTAACAACTCAGGAATCAAACAGTTATTACCATTTCAAAGACAACCGAGTCCTTCCCTCCCACGTGGATGCCGAACTTGCCAACTCCGAGGGTACCCCCTCTCTCTCTCTCTCTCTACTTTTGTTTGTTTCTCTCTCTAAAGGGTGTTTTTGGAAAACAAATAAAAGCTAATTTTTAATTTTTTATTCATTTTGAATCATATTATTTCTTTTTTTTTTTATTTATAAAAAAATAAAATAAATTAAAAAAATTAAAAAGTTCTCAAAACACCACATAACACGTAATTGTCCTGTATTGATTAATTGATTAGTTGTTGTATTAAAAGTAGAAAAGTAATGTTATGATGTGTGATGATGTATGCAGCTTGGTGGTACAAGCCTGAGTACATCATCAATGAGCTGAATATTAACTCAGTAATCACCACACCTTGTCATCAGGAGATATTGCCGATCAACACGTGGACCACCCAGAGGCCATACACGTTAAGAGGCTACGCATATTCCGGTGAGTCACAAACCAGTGGAATACCTTCTTATGCCTCCGTTTGACATGTCCATTTGGGCTAATTTTGTTATATACAACCAGATTGATTATTTTAATCAAATAGAATAAAATATCACATTTAAATTATATATTTTTTTTATAAAAATAAAAAAAGTTAAAAATTTATCTTAAATAAGATTTTTTAACTTCAGACTAAGCCTCGTTTCGGAATAGACTTTTTTAGTATATTTTTGACTTTTTAGCTAAAATATAATATAAAAAAAATGGTCTGTTTGGAATGACTTTTTAGTATTTTAAGAAAAGATATAAAAAAAATAAAGAGAAAAATAAATCTTAAACTTTTTGGTATAACTTATTAGCTTTTTGATTTTTTAATGACTTTTTAATTTTTAGGCGAAAAAATAATGTTGTCAAACGAAATCTAAAATAGTCAAATAACCAAAAAATTAACTCATATTCCAAACGAAGACTATGGAGTCATTTGCGAACAAGCTAAAAAAGTCACAAATCAACTTTAATCCATTTTTGGTTACATCACATCTCATATAAAAAAGTTTTAAAAAATTAAAAAAAAAAACAAAAAATCAACTTTTAATCAATTTCTAAATCACCCATATATTTTGAATTTCTATTATTATTGAAAAGAAAAATGTTAGAAGCTAAATATTTTACCAATATTTTTATTTAGCATCCCCAGTATTACTTTATTGGAAATGATGGTGACAATCTAATGGTTAGTCATTAATCTCTATTTATTTACCCATTAAAATAAATTTATAATAATATTCAGATAGTGATGATGTTAGGTATCAACAAAGAATTAGCTTATTATTAAAAAATTGGAAGATCTATATCATCCTAGTACATGTGAACTTTAAAATTTATGAGATATAAATAATTTAAATAAATTAAAAAATTAATTATTTAAAAGTTAGAGAAAAATATTTTTGACTTCTACTTTTTAATTATCACTTTAAAATATGCTGCATCAAACATACTCATGATTTCATTTGGCAAAACTTTGAATCCAACTGTTAAAATATTTTAATCTTCAAATATATGAATGAGCTTCATTTTGAGTTTTTTTTTTTTTTTTTTTTTCAATCTATTTACTAAAGTAAATCATCTTAAGTTGTACTTGATGTTTCCTTCATCTTGTTATTAAATACAAGTAATATTAGGGATTATAAAAACATTACATTCTTCTCTCACAAAAAAAGTCAAAAAAGCCAAAAAGTCAAAAAGTCCTTCCCAAACCAAACTTTTTAGCCCAGGCTAAAATAACCAAAAAAATCAAAAAGTCAAAAAGTCAACCCACTTCCCAAACGGAGGCTTTATTGTATGTAAAAAAGTGTATTGAAACTCCAATTATTTTAGTATTATCTTTACATCTTATTATAAAAATGATATTAGAATAAGTTTCGGGACACAAAACAAATGATTGAAAATGATTTTGACCATATACGAGGAGGCCTGTCCATTAGGCAAGTTTGATAATTATATTGGATCAAATAAATAATAAACAAATTCATTATAATGATCTAGATAATTTTTTTATTGTTTTTTAGTTGGGCCCCCAAATAATTTGGTTTTAGTTTAAAGTTGATTGTAAAAATATAATTAATAAATAAATGAATTAAAAATATAACAAATTGAAAAATATGTAAAAAAAATTATTCGTGAAAACTTAATTAATAAAGTTTGCCTTTCGAAAAGTAAGAAAAATCAAATTTAAATTAAAAAAATTTATAATGAGAAAAATTAAATTATAATTATTTAAATTAATATTTAATTCTTAAAAAGTTTTCGTTTAACTTTTCCGGTGATGCTCCAAAAGTAGTTGGGCGGCCATGAGATGGGATGATGAAGGGAGAAGGGGTACTGCTTTAAGGAACAGCAGTTATTACTGTTCTTTTTTGGGACGTCTCTCTGTGTTTTTTTTTTATAATAATTTATATTCTTTATATTATAAGATTCGTTAGGAATATTATTCAGATAAGAAATTTAAATTAATTGGATATTCATGATCTCCGTCTTAATTGTTTTTAAAAATTTATAAAAGTTACAGAAACAAATGTGCTTTACTTATAGAGTTACAGTTTTCTAATTAATTTAATTTTTTATATGGATGATCTACTCAATGAACCTTATAATATGAACAATTTAAATTATCAAAAAATACTCAGAATAACCTCTCACAAAGAACACAACAGTAACCACACAGCAATACCCTTCTCCGATGATGTAGTCCATTGTTAATTAAATGATTTTATTCAAATTTTTTGAATTAAGATTTCGATAATTTGTTTTATAAATTTGAACTTTTTGTTGTCATGTCAATAGTATGATCCTCTCTATTATTATTACTATTATTTTTCTTTTGGGGCCGGTTGTCACGTGCTTACTTATGGAAACGAGGAGAGTGTTTGGACCTATATATAACGAGGGAGGATATATGAAGTTGGTTTGGGATGTGGGTTGATTTTTTGGATTTTTAGTTTTTTATTTTTTGACTATTTTAGTTAGGTTAAAAAGTTTGGTTTGGGAAGAGATTTTTGATTTTTTAAACTTTTTTTATGAGAGAAAAATATAATAATTATGAATTAGATGTGATGTTTTGTTTGTTGTGATTAAAATAATTTATTTTATCTTTTTTTTAACTATTTTGATCACAAATCATCTTCCCAGACATCTTTCCATCGGACCCCGAGTGTGTTTGCGTAATGAGAACTGGAATTGCCAAACCAAACAAGAAAAAGGTTTACGTCTTTTATGGTTTGTTGTTGCAGATGGGTTAAAACATTTCTATATTTTGAAGTGTCCTCGCCGCAAAAGTAAATCCTTTTGCGGTATTTGTATTCTCATCCATGACTTCTTCTTTTGTTTTTTTTTTTTCCCCTTTTCTTTTCCCACCACTTCTCCCAAGCGTGTGGCTTTCACTCTCCCTTATCACCCTCGTCTTTTTTTTTTTTATTTGAAATAATAATTAAAAAAAACACTGCTTACTACTATTATTAGGCCTAGTTAAGGAACAGGCTAATTTAGTAATTTTTTGATTATTTGGCTAAAATATGAACTAAAAAAAACTAGTATGTTTGGAATGGTTTTTTGACTTTTTATGAAAAGATGTGCAAAAAGTAGAGAGAAAAGAGAATCTTTGACTTTTTGGTATGGATTGTTGGCTTTTTGGCTAATTTAATAACTTTTTGACTTTTTGACTAAAAATGAAGGTTTCCAAACGAGGCCTTAGTGTTAAAAAGTATGTACAAAAACAATATTCAAATTAAGATTAATTAGTAAAAAATTTATTCTTATGAAGTCATATGTTATTTGATTCATGATTTAATTATTTTTGTGATAAGGATACATGTTGAAAAATAGGCGACGACAGTTGCAAGTGACGGTAAGATAGACAGATAGATAACATTGAACAGATAAAGAGTTTTTTTTTTTATATTGAGAGTGGGATATTGTTGACCACAAATAGTACTCACTTGCTGATTGTTTTGGACAAATTTATATATTTTTAAATTTTTTTTTTTATATAAACATTTCATATATTTTTAAATTTTTTTTTTTATATAAAAAATTAGAGAGGAGGGAAGAAAGTGACGCGTGTAGAGGTGACGATGGATGGAGGGGAGACGTGGCACGTGTGTGAGGTGGAGCATAAAGAGAAGCCCAATAAGTATGGCAAATATTGGTGTTGGTGCTTTTGGTCCCTGGAGTGGAGGTCCTGCATCGGTTGCAGCCAAGGAGATCGCGGTCCGAGCCTGGGACGAGACTCTCAACACTCAACCCGAGAATCTCATCTGGAACCTCATGGTACGGCCCTACCCTACTATTTATTACAATATATTATTACTATTTTAAATTAAAATATCAAGTTATTTTTTAAATTGGGTCTAGTTTTGCCGAATTTCTTAAAATAAGCTAAAATGTGTTTATAAACTACGCTTTCACTGTTTTCAGGATTCTCTTGTGAAAAATTATGAAAATAGTAAAAGCAGTCGATTATAAATCACATTTTTAATTAAGAAAGCGTGGTTACAAATCACATTTTTAAATAATTTTTTTTCTTTCAAAAAGCGTGGTTTCACTAGAAATGTAAAAAACATGTTTTGAAACAACGTTTTCCATAGAAACCATCCCACACTCTTGACATACACACCCCACCAATACTCACGCGCAACACACCCACAACACTCAGGCACATTAATTTTATAATAATAATAATTAAAATATATAATAATTTATAATAACAAATAATAATTATTATATAATTTTTATAATTTTTTTGTTAATATACATTATTTTATATAATTTTAATCTTTTCAAGTGGTTAGAAATATTTTTTACAATTAAATTGAAACAACCATACACATGTATATAACCTGCCCAAAAGTTAAAATGATAATTATTTTTTACCCTTAATGTAAATATTTTTATTTTTATTTCTTAACCAAATTAGTTTTTAATTTTTTTTTTAAAAAAAATTTAAATCAAATCATACATAACTTAAAAATCTTTTGATAAATGACTTACATACATTATGGTTTTGATTTTTTAAATCACACGATCCAACCCTTAAACCATAACCTAAAAATCATACCATCCATACCCTTAAACCATAATCAAAAGATTTTAAGTTATGTATGGTTTGATTTTTAGAATTTTTTTAAAAAAAATAAAATTAATTTGGTAAGAATAAAAAATAAAAAATAATTATCATTTTAACTTTTGGGCAAGTTATATAATACGTATGGTTGTTTTAATTTAATTTGTAAAAAATTATTTCTAACTACTCGAAAGATAAAAATTATATAAAATAAATTATATTTACAAAAATTATAAAAATGATATAATTGATTATTATTTACTATTATAATATTATTATATATAAAATTAATGTGTGTGAGTGTTGTGGGTGTGTTACGCGCGCACGTGAGTGTTGTGGGTGTTTGTAGTGTCAGAGTTGGGATGGTTTGTATGGAAAATGTTGTTTCAAAATACGTTTTTACATTTTTAACAGTAAAAGAACGTATTTGAATTCACATTTTTTGAAAAAAAAATTTTATTTAAAAGGGTGGTTTGTAATCTCACTTTCTTAATTAAAAGCCACGCTTTACATTTCACTAATTTTTTTGCGGGAGGGTCCTGAAAACAGTGAAAACGTGGTTTGTAACCACGTTTTTAGCTTATTTTGAAGAATTCCATCAAAACTAGGCTTAGTTTGAGAAATAGCTTAGTATTTTAGCTTATTTTGGAAAAAATCCCTAAAATCTTGCTTGTGTTTTAATATTTTAGGGTAAAATTCTTCTCAATTCATTGTGTATCTCCAATGGTAGTAGGCATTTTATCTATCTAAATATTACTATAAAGTATACATTTTTATTTTGCTTGCAACGATTCATTTTTCTACCCCAACCATGCTCTTTATTTTAGCTATTTCATCACAATACTATTAACTTTATAGATGCCACTCAGCACAAGATGGAGGGAAATAATCTTAATGATTAAATACATTTTGCCTAGCCTTGAAGGCTAGCTACATGTAGCTAGTGAATGTGAGCTGAGCCAAATGCACTAAGCATATGCCTAGTGCATTGGAGATGAAAAAAGTGAGTCACATTAGGCGATTTTGACTAACAAGCATTATATGCCTAGTGGGTTGGAGATGCTCTTATCCATTATAGATCCTCTTTTATGTCTCTTTGTTAGGATTTAGGTAGAATTAAAAATAAAAAATAAAAGAAAATGGGAGAAAAATACAAATGAAATA